TTTTTCTGACATAGCTTAGGCTGGCCTAGAACTCACTAAATGGCCCAGGCTTGCCTCATATTTGTGGCAATCCTCCTGCCCCAGGCTACTGAGTGCTGGGATTACAAACATAAACCACCATACCTGGTTTGTTTGTTTTTTCTTTTTGCTTGGGAAGAACAGTCCTGGGTATTGAACTCACATGTTATGTAAGCACTCTAACTCCTAAGCTGTATTCTTACCCCCCTTTTTTCTTTTCCTTTAATTCTTTTAGATTTATTTTATTTTATATGTATGAATGTTTTGCCTGCATGTATCTATGCATACCTTACCACGTGTGTGCCTGGTGCCCTCAGAGTTCAGAAGAGGGCATGGGATCCTGAAATTGGAGTGATTGGATGGTTGTGAACCATGTGATGGGAATTGCATCCTTGTGCTCTAGAAGAACAGCCAGTACTCTCACCTGTTGAGATATGTCTCCAGCCTGCCTCCATTTTCTTTTTTACATTTTTTTCTTGTTCTGTTTTTCATGTGTGTATAGTATTTATGTGTGTATGGATGTTTGCACATGTCTGGGGTGGGTATGTATGTGTGAGTGGGTTCACGTACATGTGTAAGCTCAAGGATGATGTTGGGAATCACCCTCAGTTCTTCTGTCTTACTCAGTACAGCAGAGTCTTCCAGTCAAACCCTAAACTCAAAACTATGGCTAGTTTCCTAGCCAGCTTGCTTTAGGGAGTCCCCAGTCTCTGTCTTCCAAGGCTGGGAATCAAGATTAGCATTTAACTCTTTTTTTTTCTGTTTACACATTTAAAATTTATTCATATCTTACAAACATACATATAACATCACTGTAACTACAATTTCTCACTTCCCAATATGATTGATTCCACATGAAGCACTGTCACTTGGGAAAACACTAGTTATACTGATCTATTTACAGCTTCACCAAAATTGCTCATGTCATTTCAGTATTTAATATAGCAGTTACAGGCATTTAACTCTTTTTTAAAAATGTTTTATTTTGATTTATTTATTTTTATTTTATGTGCATTGGGGTTTTGCCTGCATGTATTTCTATGTGAGGATGTTGGATACCCTAGAACTAGAATTATAGACAGTTGTGAGCTGCTGTGTGTGTGTTGGGTATTGACCTGGGTCCTCTGGAAAAGCAGTCAGTGCTCTTAATTGCTGAGCTATCCCTCCAGCCCCAGCATTTAACTCTTTTAAGACAATTTTCAAAACATTTATTTAGTGTGTCTTGTGTGTGTGCAAGCAGATATGGGCATCACACATTATATGTGTGGAGTCAGTTATACTTGCATGAGTCGGTTCTTTTAATTCTATTATGCTGTTCCCAAGGATCAAATTTAGGTTATCAAGCTTAGTGGGAAGTACCATTTTGCTTCCCTGGCCTTCAACTCTTAATCTTCTTGCTTCCACCGTATAGGATTGTAGGCATGTCTCACCACACCTAGCCTTAGCACTCTTTCTTTAATTTTATTTTGAACATACAGGGTCTCAGTTACCAGGCCAACCTTGAACTTTGAATCTTCCTTCCGCTGACCCCCAAAGCATGGGATTACAGGGGTGGACCACCAACCAGGCCTGGTCTGCCTGCCTGCCTGCCTGCCTTCCTAATTTCACTTCTCTTCCCTTCCCTCCTCTCTCTCCTTCCCTGTCTCTATTTATTTATTTGCAGGCAGTCAAGGGCTCTCTACTGTAGCTCTGGCTATCCTGGAACTTGTTTTGTATACTGAGCTGACCTCAAAACTCATTATGTAGATCAGGCTGGCCTTGATCTAACAGAGATCAGCCTGCCTCTATCTCTCAAGTGCTTCGATTAAAGGCATCTACCACCATACCTGGCCCTTGCTTTCCTTTCCTGAACATACTAATCATAGTTCATGTCCAGTATTATAGGACTGGGGAGAGTGGGGAGTCTATGGATCTTTGTCTTTGCTGTCCTTGCTTTTGTTTGTTTGCTTTATTTATTTTTGGTTTTTTCGAGACAGGGTTTCTCTGTGTAGCTTTGGAGGCTGTCCTGGAACTAGCTCTTGTAGACAAGGCTGGTCTCCAACTCATAGAGATTCCCCTGCCTCTGCCTCCCGAGTGCTGGGATTAAAGGCGTGCGCCACCAATGCCCATCATTGTTTGCTATATTTATTTTTTCTGAACTATAGGCACTGACTGTTTTAACAGAGATTCTTCTTTCAGGAAGTACTCACTCAATGAGCAAGCCCAGGGGCTGGCTACTTCTACCCTTGCCAGGATGGCCTTGGGCTGGGAAAGTTTTGGGGAGCTAGCAAAGAGGGAGCTAACAAGGAGCTGACTTGTCCTCAGCAAGTAGTAACAGCTACCTCCTCTCCATCAAGATGTCATTAGGAACAAGTGTAAAACCATGGTTTCCACTCTAGCCCTTCACTGTCAAGTGCATTCAGGAGAAGCCCAGTGGAGTTAGGACTTTGACAGCTGCCCAACAGTAACAAGACCAGCTCCTGTGGTGTCAGTGGGAGCTAGGTGGGAAGCAGTAACGAGGAACTTCTGCCCTGGCAGACAGGGTGTTCAGGCTAACAGAAGTGGTATAGGGTGTTTATCTTAGGGAGTCAGCCAGTACAGTGGGGAGCCTGTGCCCTCATTTGTTCTAAACATCACCCCTTAACTGTAACAAGTCTTTCTCTGTCCCACCAGCCAGCTCTCAGATCATGACACCAAGACTTCTTATTAATTATGAAAGCTTGGTCTTGTTCCTAACTAGCTCTTATAACTTAAATTAACCAATTTACATTAATTTATGTTTTATCATGTTGTATTACCTCTCTTCCACCTTGCACCTCCTGTTTTCTCTCCATGTCTCCTAGCTTCTCTTGCTTGCCTAGATCCTTCCTCTTCTTCCTTTCTCTCCCTGGAAATCCTACCTATATCTCCTGCCTAGCTATTGGCCATTCATTCTTTTATTACACCAATCACAGCAATACATCTTCACGAAGTGTATATATATCCCACAACACTTAACTGTGGATGGGACCAAGTAGCTGTGTGGAGAGACACCTGTGTGACGTATAGCACCTGAGCCATACGGAACCTTGCTGAGGAATAGGGATAGAGAGCGCAAGGAACTGGCACTGTGCCTTTGTTTCCTATGGGGGAGCAGTCAGGGAGTGGTTTTGACCATAGGCTGTGAAACAGAGAGATCAAAGTTCAGTTTGGTTAAGAAAACCAGTTCACAGAGCAGCTCTGGCTGTAAGATGCAAAAATCTTAATTGTACTTCTGTGAAAGTAGTAACCCCTCCCCCCCCCACACACACCCCAGCAGTGTCAGAGGCAGCCAGTAAAACAGAAACTAGAATCCCATCCAGATTCTTCTGCCATGTACCCATGTGAAGAGTTGTATTAGGGTTAGAGAGATCACTCTGTGGTTAAGATCATTTGCTGTCTGATACAGAAATGATAGAATAAAAAGATAGATTATTGAATCTACTTTTCAACCATAAAAAGCAACTACTAGTCTACATATTTTACATTGGTATAGATTTTTGTATATTGATACAAATTTGAGTTTGTTTTTATTATACTGTATGTGTTTCTACTCCTGTTTGAGATATTGTGCTTAAGCAGCTCATTTAAAAATATAATGTTTAAACTCTAGACCTACAACTGTAGAGACTCCAAGGGACCAAACTAGGCCCTCCATATATGGGAGACAGTTGTGAAATTTGGACTATCAGAGAGGCCCTGGCAGTAGTACCACAATACAAACCTGGTATATGAGCTAGCTTGTTGGAGCCCATTGCCTATGGTGGGATGCCGTGCTCAGTCTTAATGCATGGGAGAGGGGTCGGGCCATGTGCCAGACTATGTTGACTCCTCATGGGAACCCTTACCCATGAGGAGGAGTAAACTGGGGGTGGGTTAAGGTGGAGGCAAGGGAGGGTGGGAGGAGGGGTGGGAGGGAGAACTGTGGTTGAAATGTAAAATGAAATAAAAAAATGGAAAAAATATAATATATAGTTAAAAAATACAGATTAATAATTAGTCATCTATAATAGTCACCCATATCTATCAAACTTATGGTCATGTTAGGTTTTCTAAGTATACAAAACAATCCTTTTCTACACTGTGAATATGTATTACTCTCATTGGTTAATAAAAAGGTGATAGGCCAGAAGGATCAGAAGGAAGATGGAGTCGGGAGACACCAGCCAGCTTCCAGGGAAGTAGGACTTATAGAAAATAAGGTAATGGGCTGGAGAGATGACTCAGAGGTTAAGAGCACTGTCTGCTCTTCCAGAGGTCCTGAGTTCAATTCCCAGCAACCACATGGTGGTTCACAACCATCTGTAATGAGATCTGGTGCCCTCTTCTGGCCTGCAGGGACACATGCAGACAGAAAACTGTGTACATAATAAATAAATCTTTAAAAAAAAAAAAGAAAGAAAGAAGATGAGGTAACAAGCCATGAGCCTTGTGTCGAAGCATAGATAAGAAATATGGTTTAATCTAATTATGAGCAGTCTTTACCTATGTGGTGGCTCACAACCATCTGTAACTCCAGTTCCAGGGCATTTTCAACACTATCTTCTGACCTCTGTGGGCATCAGGCACACATGTGGTACACATACATATATGCAGGCAAAACCCTCATACATATAACTTAAATAAGTTTTTAAAAATTAAAAAGGGCCAAGTGGTGGTGGTGCATGCCTTTAATCCCAGCAGAGGCAGAGGCAGACAAATTTCTGAGTTCAAGGCTAGCCGCTCTACAGAGCATGTTCCAGGACAACCAAGGCTACACAGAGAAACTCTTATCTTTAATTACAAAAAAAAAAAAAATGAGAAACAACCAAGACATTCTCAGGTAAAAGAACACAAGAATTGTCTCATATTCCTTAAAGAATGGCCAAAGAGCTTTTCTGGCTGCCCGGCCATCTTGGCTGCGCTTGGTTGGGGCTGCACTGCGCCTGAGGCAGGAACATGGTGGCCACCAAGAAGACAAAAAGTCCCTGGAGTCCATCAACTCCAGGCTCCAGCTGGTGATGAAGAGCAGGAAGTATATGCTGGGCTATAAACAGACGCTCAAGATGATCAGGCAGGGCAAAGCCAAGCTGGTCATCCTCGCCAATAACTGCCCAGCCCTGAGGAAATCTGAAATAGAGTACTATGCCATGTTGGCTAAGACCGGGGTCCATCACTACAGTGGCAATAACATTGAATTGGGCACAGCATGTGGGAAATACTACAGAGTATGCACATTGGCTATCATTGACCCGTGACTCTGATATTATTAGAAGCATGCCAGAACAGACTGGTGAGAAGTAGTAAACCAGAAATGCCTTCCTTTAATAAAACCACCAGAGCTCTTAAAAAAAAAAAGTATTCTATTCTTCCTCCTAAAGTGCTGGCCATATAAGCATTTAGACCTGCATTTAGATCCCCAGAACTATACAAGCACTGGTGTAGGCAGAGACAAGTGAAGCTTATTGGCTGGACAACCTAGCTGAACTGATGAACTTCAGGTTCAGCTAGACTCTTGACCCCAAAGAAATAAAAGAGAGTGATCAAAGAAAGACACCTCATGTATAGTTCTGGCCCACAAATCCATATGCATACATATGTACACACATTAACTGGTACAAACATTACAGATACAATACAGTACACACACACATGCCAAAGGAAGTTTTTTACTCAAAACTATTTATTATACAATGCAAGATAAGACTTCGGAATATCAGAAGTAAGGAGGCAGGAAGAAATTTTGAGTGAGTGTGGCCAGCCTTCACTACTACTTTCTAGTGAGCCAAAGGTCTGTAGCACTTGTGATATAGTTCTCTGAGAGAAGAGAAAACAGCTAAGATGACCAGATCAGGAGTAGAAGTAGGCAAAGGAAGGTGAGCATTCTGCCTATTGTTTCACTCTGTAAATTTCGTTAAGTGTGCTCTATATTCCCAGAGCACTCCATGACAATGCTGCAATAGCCAGAGGAAAACAGGGCAGAAACCCAATCAAAAATAGCTTTTTTTGTGTAGTAAATAAACTGGAAATGGCCCTATCTTACTGGGTAAACAGAACAATCCAGTCAGCCTTTGGGAAGCTGCCCATCAGTGAGGGGTCACCTTGGAAGCTCACGGCAGCCAGATGTGTCCTTAGGAACTCCAGAGGTTCCTACATGTGATTTCTGTGTGTTTCTACATGTTCACTATTTTCAAATAACAAGTGACAGCCATAGAAGTCAGGGTGTGTATAAAAGGCAGCATATGGATCCTCATTCAGGTGAACATGGCTCTGTCCTGCCTGCAGTGAGAAGGGTGTGTTTATCTGTGAGTATCTCAGAAAGTTTAATTCAAGAAACTGAGCAGTGGTGCAATAGGATAGTTGTGCAGTTATGGGCCCAACAGAGGCTCAGGAGTTGCCCAGCACATTGTTTACCCATTTCTTCTCTTAACCTGTTGCTTCCTCTGGGTCTCCAGGTCTCCTGTATTCCAAATTGGGGTCACCACGACCTACTCAACTGTAGACTGAAGCAAAGGAAACAACTCTGGGTATGAGGCCATGGTGTCTTCAGTGTGTGGGGCCTCTCTCCCTTAGCACTGTGGATCTGAGCTTTCTGTGGCAGGTTATGAGCCAGCAGGGCACAACTGGTTCTGTCACAGGAAAGAGCAGGTTCCCCCCAGCACCTTCTCTAGGAAGTGCCTACATGGAGGTGGACTTTCTGACATCTTGGAGTCAATTTTGGTCATCTGTGCTTTCATGACCTTTCCAGATGACTCAAGTTACTTGAGATTCAGAACTTGCTCTGATGGCACTATTTTATCTTTTCTTTTTTTCTGGTGCCACAGATAGACCCTTGCATCCCAAGGCACTGAGCTATGCCTAATAGCAAAACTTATCAAGAAAGTGGCTGCTGCTGCTCCTGCTGCTTTTTTTTGTGGGGGGTTGGGGTTCGAAGCAGGATTTCTCTGTGTATCCCTGGCTGTCCTGGAACTTGCTTTTTAGACCGGGCTGGCCTCAAACTCAAAGAGATCCACCTGCCTCTGCCTCCCAAGTGCTGAGATTAAAGACATGCATCACCACCACCCCACCTTTCCTTTTACTTTTAAAATTGTATGTGTATGAGTGTTTTGCCTACATGTGTGCCACATAAGTGCTTATGGAGGTCAGTGAGGGCATCAGAACTATAATTATAGATGGTTGTGAACGACCATGTGGGTACTGGGAACCAAAACTAGGTCCTCTGAAACAGCAACAAGTGCTCTTAACCAATGAGCCATCTCTCCAGTCTCAGGAAAATTGTTTCTAATTCAATACTTTTTTTACCCACTTGTGTTAACATCAGTGTCTTAGATCTGGATGATCTTGAAAAGCAGTAATTGGCTTTCTTTTCCAGCTGATTTCTGAGGAAGGAGTGAGCAGTCTGAATGTCAAGGAATTGCAGGCAGCATGTCGAGCACGAGGCATGAGAGCACTTGGAGTCACAGAAGACCGTCTGAAGGACCAACTGAATCAGGTATATGGCCTTAGTGGCTGGCTGGGCAGATTTGTAGCTTTCTCCTCTGTTATCCTCTGTTAGGAATTACCTACCTTTGCTCCAGACCTGTACAGGCCCGTGTGTGTGTGTGCGCGTGTGTGTGCGTGTGCGTGCGTGTGTGTGTGTGTGTGTGTGTGTGGGTGTGTGTGTGTGTGTGTGTGTGTGTGTGTTCAAACTAGAAAAGCCCTAAGATTGGGGTATGGCCTGAGTGGTATGTGTAAGGCCCAGAATTCTATCCTTAACACTGCATGGTAGTACACACATAACACACAAACCTGAGCATGATGGTACATCCTGACACAGAAGGATCACTGAGTTGAGGGCAGCCTGAGCTATAGTGTAAGACCCTGTCTCAGAACAAACAGAGAGAAAGAAAGGTCAGTCAGTTGATAGGCTGCTAGCCTAGCATGCACAGGGTCCTGGGTTGGATCTCTAGTACCATCTGAATGGTTGTACACATTATATGTAATCCTGGCACTCAAGATATGGAAGCAGGACAATCAGAAATTTAAGAGCATCTTCAGCTAAAAATCAAGTTTCGGGACACCCTTACAACTTGACTGGATTTGCATCCACCCTCTCAGCTACCCTGTGCCTGGCCTTCTGTGAGTAGGTGCTTGGTATGTGGTACTGTACCCTGCCTCAGCTTGAGGGTCCTGATGCAATAGTCCCTGTGCAGGTCTATGGAAGTATGTGACATTTACAGCCCTTCATCTTTCATATCAGAAGGCTTAACAGATGTGAGATATGAGCTTGGTCTTCCTCCTAACTCAGCTTCACACCTGTGGTGCCCTTGGCAGTTGTTCACCTGCCACTTTTCACTCTTCACATGCGGCCAAGGATAAGTGCACACTCATTTTCCCATTAAACACATTTCTGCAATCCTTATCCATTTGTCTTTCAAGGGCTTCTCATAACATAGGTAGGTTCCCAGCACAGACCTAAAGGCTGTGTACATTGGCAAACTAGAGAATCCAAGGTCTTAGTCATTTGACTAAGTTGTCAAGTCTATAAATAAATGTCTCAAGCCAGGTGTGGTGGAGCATGCCTTTAATCCCAGCACTTAGGAAGGCAGAAGCAAATGGATCCCTGAGTTTGAGGCCAGCCTGGTCTATAGAGTGAGTTCCGGGACAGCCATCCTACACAGGGAAACTCTGTCTTGGGGGTGGGGGATGATGTCTTTATCTGCTAAGCCATCTTGTCAGCCTTTAGTTTTTAGTATAGACAAGATCTCCTATATGACCAGTCTGATCTTAAATTTCTAGGTATCCTGCATCAGCCTTTCTAATTGTTTTATTTATATCTAAACACATGGGCCAGTACGATGGATCTGTGGGTAAAGGTGCTTTGCCTCCAAGTTTGACAACCTGAGTTTGATTCCCAGAACCCATGAGGTAGAAGGGGAGAGATGACTCCTAAAAGTCATGTGCCTCTGTGGCATGTGCTGCTACCCACTCCCAAATAAACAGTTGTAAAATATATGAGTAAAAACACAAAGGTTACAAATAGTAATGGGTATAAGTAATATATGTGTATGGTGCCTTAGGCCTTTTTTTTTTTTTTTTTTTTAAGTGTCGGGCTTTAATAGCCCAGGCTGCCAGAGAATGTGGGATCCTTCTGCCTCAGCTAGTTTAGGAATTACAGCTATACACCACTATCAGCCAGTGTACTAGCTTGTTTTTAAGCAAGTAACCATTCTCAATCGACCATTGAACTGATGGTCAATTGTTCAGTTTACTGAGATGTGGTGTGTGCTTTACATTATATATATTGGATATTTTTTAATCTTTATTTTATGTGTATGGGCATTGTATGTATGTTTGCATACCTCGTGCATGCAGGTCCCCATGGATGTCAGAAAAGGGTGTCGGATCCCCCAGAACAGGAGTTACAAACAGTTGTGAGCTGCCATGTGAATGCTAGAAACTGAACCCAGGCCCTTTGCAGGAGTAGCAAATACTCCTTCCAGCCCCTGAAAGATAGAAATATCATCTTTGGGAAATGTATTTTAATGATGTAATGAACTATTTATTTAGTCGTGTTTGCTGTGGTACCCAGACTCTATATCCCTCAATTAAGCCAAAGCCACAGAAGGGAACTCCGGGGTGGGCAATCTGTCACCTTGAAGGAGAGGCACTGGGGCTGTAGGTCAGGCAAGGACAGCACGTCCAGTGAGTGTGCTTTGATTGCAGTGGCTCGACTTGCACCTGCATCACGAGATCCCCACATCATTGCTCATCCTGTCTCGGGCCATGTACCTCCCAGACACCCTCTCGCCTGCTGACCAGCTCAAGTCCACCTTACAGACCCTACCAGATATTGTGGTATGTATTGTCAGGAGATTCTTTTGACTCTTTATCTTTGTGGGCTTGGTACCCTCACCTCCACAGCTCTGGGATCCTCTCCACCTTGGTCTTCCTGTCCTCTTCACAGCTCCTCGGTTTGTCTCCCTGCCCAGCCCTGTATGAGGCACAGTCTCAGGAACAACAGTGCTAAGGTTGCAAATCTGAATTGATGTATTTGAGTTTTGCTCTGAAACTCAAAACAGTCCCCTGATGGGTGAGGATCCTTATCCTTGGAAGCCTGGAAGCACCTCTAAACACTTGGGAGGCAACAGCCCATTAGTGTATTCTGTTGTTTTGTATGAAGCCCAGGTGGTAACATTGCTCAGATAGAGATAAGGACATTATAGGTCTGACACCTCAGGCTCACTAGCAATTACCTTCTCCTTTCTCTTTCCCTCCAAAGACAAAGGAAGCTCAGGTGAAAGTGGCAGAAGTGGAAGGCGAGGAAGTAGACAACAAGGCAAAGCTGGAGGCTACACTGCAGGAAGA